TTTTGTCATTCAGAAATCCGTATTTATGGATTTCCGGCCACGTAACTGTAAAACAGACCTTTCCGCGAACTTCGCAATCACGATTGTTAATTGCTCCTAATACCGGCTGTTGGGGCCACGATGATTCAGGCAACAATAAAAACTTTGGTCCGCTTATCCACACGTTATCGCTTTCGATGAATTTGTTCATGGGCATGACTCTCGTACAACAATCCGCTGGATTATTTTGGGTATTGACATATCGCCACTGCGCAGGTTCAGTGTAGTCAAGAATTTCACGCAGTCTATTTGCAACAAATGTTTTGAATCTTGTTTTAGTGTTTCGGAGATATCTCAGAACACACGTAGAATCTGACCACAACATTTCGCATGTGATGGGCAGGGTTAAAGACTTGCGCAGAAATTTCAGCAGACGCGCGGATAATAAGGCACTTTGCAGCTCTAGTCTGGGAACGGACATATGTTTCATCGGGGAGACTCTTGATTTGGCCATCAAAAAACTACAATTCACACACTGGCCTTTCTTGGCACGCAAGTAAGCCACGGTACCATAAGCTTGTTCAGACGCGTCGCAAAACAAGTGGAGCTCATAAGTGGCATCGGTTTTTCGAGACTCCTAAATATTGTCTAGGCACACGAAAATTAGTCAATTGTTTTAACGATTCGGTCCAGTCGCCCCAAGTATTCTTCCTACGGTCATCAAAATTTTCGTCCCATTTCAAGTCATCTCTCCAGCACTCCCGTATAAGTAGTTTTGCAGTTAAAATAATAGGGGCTAAAATTCCGAGAGGGTCAAAAACCGATGCCGTCGCACTTAGCGCCTCTCTTTTTGTAACAGGTTTTGCCAACGAATTGTAAATAAAGAAGAAATCATCGTCATTAGTGTTCCAGTGAAGTCCCAACGCCTTAGAAACGGGCAAACAATCAAAATCTAGATCAACATCAGGATTAAGACGATCCTCTGTGTTAAATTTCGACAATAATGTTTTGGAATTTGAAAGCCATTTTGTCAATCGAAACCCCTACTTGCTAACATATTAGAAACTTCTTGTGCGACGGAAAAAGGCGGAGTCATCATTCCATTTTGATGAAAGCAGATCATCTACGTAAAAATCCCTGAGAACAGTTTCTACTGCTTCCGTTGAAAATTGGCTGGTATTATCAAGCGCGGTTTGTTTAAGGCAGTAATTTGCAACATATGGCGAGTCGACCGCACCAAAAATCCTTACTAAAAACTGTTATACATCAGGTGGGGATGTTGATCTTAGATCTTCTTGCCAGAAAAATCGAACTGAATCGGTGTCTGACTGCGGTAGACGCACCATATGATACATGGCTTCAATATCAGCGTTCAATGCAACGGGTCTTTCTCTGAATCGCAGTAAAACACCAATTAAATTATTAATAAGATCAGGTCCCGAATATATCTGATTATTTAAACTAATTCCACAATATGTAGCAGCGGCGTCAAAAACTATTCTTATCTTGCCGGGTTTATTCGGATTCTGAACTCCATGATGGGGCAGGTACCAAGTCGAGGGCCCAAAGTATCCCGTTCTTTATCGTGTCAGTTTTCGCACCCAGCCACGTTCGATATTTTTCCTCATAGACGTGCAATACATGTCTCTCAGGCAGTATTTTTCAAAAGTCGATATTTCAGATTTTTAAATCTAGTGCGGGCAATAAGACTGTTCTCCGGCATAATGGAAGCATCGTGACGCCACAAAAAGCCAACTTGATAATGCCCATCAAACAATGGACGTTTTAGCTCTAATCATATCCGCAGCCACGCGATCTTCCACTGATTCGGCTCGCTTTCATGTTGTAAACCATTCCTATCGCGTCCGTACTCCAAAACTGCTTTAACTTGTTCTTGCAAGATATTGTAATCGTCGTGTAATAAATGACAGTTGGCCTGAATTAGGTCGACTTCACCAGCGCGTTTGTTTGCACCTAGCAAAGTCCACCCGAGTGGCGTTCTAATAGCAATAGGCCTCGTTATCCCCCCCTACACGTCTTTTCTAGTTGAAAGTGGGCAACGGATTGGTCCGCACCTATGAGCAACATAACTTCGTTTTCTTTAATATCAGGGATTGGTATTCCGCGTAAATGATGGAAAAGTTTCAAATCCGTTTGACGTCTTTCAGGGTGGGGAATTCTATTGGTCACATACGAAAACTGATTTTAGAGCTAGTTCTTTGCCATCGGGATTTAATTTGTCACGTACAAACATCCACCGCTTCTGAATCATATGAAATCCCAGTTCCGCCAGGGTGGTTAACATAAGCTTTTTTACGACATCCACGCAAATCCAATTAGTTTTAAGTTAGGGATGAATGAGAGAACCCGACTTGCCGATCGAGCAAAGCAACGGTATATTTCGGAGCGTCCATTAGCTCCTCTAACCAATACAGGTAGCAACTGAAATTGAACCCTAGTGGTTACCGACATCGCATTGTTACCCTGTCGGTTTGTTGGTCTTGGGGACGCTTTTCAAACATGCGAATTCCATGAATACATTTATGATGTTTCCCACTGCATATACTACACTTGACATCACATCTACAATAAATGCACGATGGCCCGGTTCAAGACATTTAAAGCAAAGTCTGAACTCTACAACAAAATTTACGTTTACGTCATCGGTTGGCACCGTAAAACACATCACAACTTCTTAAAGAATGGCCAGCATTGCAGAATTGACAACGTAGTGCGTCACTGCATGAGGCTATTAACGGATTCCGAATTGTTAACGTTGAAAATGGTGACTGTAATTAACTGGCGACGACCGGTTTTGGGCCTCTTCATGTCAACTCTATTGGTGACATTGCAAGTAACATCAGGAGAAAAAGGATTGGCAATTTCCTCAGTTCTTTCCCACAACCATTGCTCAAAGTCTATTAATGTCGGATTAGAGTTCTCGTGAATAAAAACCACAACAAATTTATTCCAACTGAATTCAGTTCTGAGGAATCCTGTTTGAAACTCTCCTTACATCTCGACACTACTGATGTCAGCCAAAAAACACATCTTTTTTAGATTCACCACGCAGTCACGCACGTCTGAGTGAAAATTAAGTAATCTATCGGCCCGAGAGAGGCGAAATACGCTTACCGTTCACAACTACGGTCAAGCAAGGCCCGTGCAATAAAATACAGACTGTCCGTAGGCGGCGTTTTCAATTCTTTCAAAACCAGTATGTAATGACTGCCGGCGGTACCTAATCCCTCAACGCGACGCTTCGCCGAACCCGACAAATATGAGGACAATCTCACCATGCGTGACCATCGTCGTCCAATCGTGAATGCACATTTTCATAAAACAATTCAATGAAATTAGGCCAATTTATAGCAACTACCATCAAACGGACTTATTTGGACCGGCGGCAAATGATGTTCAGCCCACATTTTAGAATTTAAACTCAAAATAAACACGTTTGCTCAGCTAGAGAAAAATTTATCATTTACCGTTCTAGATCCTGCTTGATTTGGTTGGAGAATATCGATCCAGGAGTCTACCGACTGGTCTGGCAATGCATCTGTTTGCTGGTGAAGGATTTTGATAATGTCTTGAAGTGTAAGAAATCGTATATTCACGACGTGTATCTGTCGTAGTGAAAGTCTCTGGTTCAAAGCGGGCACTTTTTCTTCGAGTTGATTCTAACATATCGCGTTCGTCAAGGTCATTGAACCTGGGGTTCATAAAGCTACCCTTTGGGAGAGATGGTGTCTCTCGACGATCATCGTGTTCTCGTTTTTGTGGTTCGTGGTTACGTTCCCGCCAAGCTAGACTCTCGAAGTTGGTCAATCGCCGCCCCCATTTTACCATTCGGCTGTTGGGCCAAAGCTGGCCTGATTGTTATCTTTCAGACTTCCGCTTGAAACATTAGAGTTCTTTTCGTCAGGTGCCACGCACGATGCTTCAGGTTCGCGGTCGATGTAACTATCAATTTCATCGATCATACCTTCAACTTCAATATCACGCTCCGAACGCCTTCTTCGAAAGCAGCTTTTGACTCTGCATTGCGAATTTGGAGGTGATATGTTCGATATAATTTGATTATAAGCGGCCAGTTTAAAATATAACTTGCTTTAGGGCATGCCAGTTGCGATCTTCGAGCCTTTTCGTTTATCAAATTCCGACTATTGGTCAACAATGATTTAAGCTCGGTCTCTATGTTGACACGCTTTTGTCTGAGTGTGGTTAAGGATGGCAAGCTCTCAATTATATTATCGGTTACGGATTTACTTTCTTCCAATACTCGTCGACGATGAAGCCCACTGTTGCTTCAGATTCTTCAGTATTTGGCGACTTCTTCAACAAATGCGTCATATTCAACTTTGTCAGATTTAGGCACACAGATGTTCCATGTCATAACGCGTTTATTGTAAAACGGTTGACTGTAAATAAAGTGAAATAGTCAATAAACAATCACAAGATGAAGGCGGAACGAAAATGCATAACCAGAAAGTTAATAGAAAATAAACTTACATATGATAACGCTCCAAAGGCCTAAATCGACAAGAAACTGACAGGTAACGTGAACGATCACGTTATTAGAATATAATAGCAACTAAATTTAGAAAGCAGTTATGAAATGAAAGCAGAATGAAATATAAAAATACATGAACAATTAAAGCAATAAATGACGACGATGGTCATATGGGGCCCCGGTTACGATACCCTCACCACAGTTCTACCTAACGAGACCAAATGCCACCCACACGCTAAGTCAGTAAAGCGGATAATGCGAAACCACACCACTGACACCATAACAAGATTAAACAAGAACGTCCTACGACGCGTAAAGTCGAGATGCAAGAGCCACGCGTGACACGTCAGGTGCAGTAAAGCCCGCGAAATTCGCGTCAAAACAGAAAAGCAATTATCGATAAAAATTAGCCGGTCGGAACACAAGGAAGAACAGCGTTCAAAATAATAATCAACTGAAAAGAAACTTCTATCGCCGACACAGCCGCCCCCAATAACCCTTCAAGGGGTTATTCATTTTCCAGGAGGCATAGTTTCGTCACAGGTCTGGTTATTTCCCCATTTGTTGTTTTAACGGTTGCGACACGCACCCGGTTATCTTTTCCAGGGAAAACTTTGATAACTCTTCCTAGTAGCCAACTTCCTCTTGGCGCGCCGTCATCTACAACAATTACGATATCATCTATCGATAAATTCCTATGATCTTTCAGCCACTTTGTTCGAGTCATCAACATTGGTAGGTACTCTCGCCGCCATCGCTTCCAGAACTGATTCGAGATTGCTTCGGTTTGTCTCCATCTTCTCCGATGCGCTGTTGATGTACAATCCGTATCCAGTGGTGTATTTGCGTCAGTATGCCCACGTATAAGACAATTGGGCGTGAGGGGTGCTGGATCACGTACGTTGTCCCCAATATGAGTTAAAGGACGGCTGTTCATAATATCGGAAATTTCAGCGAACGCAGTCGTTAATACTTCGTCCGTTACACATAGGTTACCAAGGACTGCCTTCAAAGTACGCTTTGCACTCTTGACGAGCCGCTCCCAGATGCCCCCGAAATGAGGGGCATAAGGTGGCGAAAAATTCCAATCAATGCCTTTCTTCAAACATTCGTTGGTAATGCGAGTTTGATCCAGATCAGAAATTAATTGCCGTAATTCTCTTGAAGCGCCAACGAAATTGGACCCGTTGTCACTCCATATTCCTTTAGGGGCCTCGGATTGCTGTAAACTTTCTAAGAGCGCATATGAAGGAATCAGTTTTCATTGACCAGGCCAATTCCAAATGCACTGCTCTACACGATAAACAAGTAAAAATACATCCCCATCTCTTTTCAGTGGACCGTCCTCGTTTCACGTACAGTGGACCAAAGTAATCTATCCCACTGTTCAAAAATGGCCTCGCCTCCGTCAGACGAACCTCGGGCAAGTTTGCCATAAGGGGCGGTTGAGGGCGAGCTGAGCGTTCCGACACGGCCAACAATTCTTTATTGCGCGACTGGCAAGTTTGCGACCCTTCAATGGCCAGAATAATTTGCCGGATCGACGCTAACATTGCATCTGGGCCAGAATGCGCTAATCGACAATGAGCTGCACACATCAGAAGCCAAGACACACGACAAGAACAACTATCTTTACACTTAGTGCTACTGTATGGCAATATTATTGGATGCCTCGTTTCAAGCGGCTCAGGTGACTCTTGTAAGCGACCATTTGCACGCAAGAAGACTCCATCGAAAAAAGGTGTCAACGACAATAACGGTGACCTGCACGAGAGTAATTTATCCGATTTCAAAGCATTGATTTCTTCTGCGAAATGCTCTCGCTGGGCCGCTATTATCCACATCATGCCACTCAGTTCTAAAAGTTTCGGACGAAGCTCTAAGATTTTGGTCTTTCTTCGAAACACATCCGCGACTGCAATTACCATAGCTGTCCGCTTGCATAACGAGTACCATGTGGAAAACATTTCCACCCTGATTAAGTTGTCGATGCGGATTTTGTCATTCAGAAATGGATTTCCGGCCACGTAACTGTAAAACAGACCTTTCCGCGAACTTCGCAATCACGATTGTTAATTGCTCCTGATACCGGCTGTTAGGGCCATGATGATTCAGGCAACAATAAAACTTTGGTCGCTATCCACACGTTATCGCTTTCGATGAATTTGTTCATGGGCATGACTCTCGTACAACAATCCGCTGGATTATTTTGGGTATTGACATAACGCCACTGCGCAGGTTCAGTGTAGTCAAGAATTTCACGCAGTCTATTTGCAACAAATGTTTTGAATCTTGTTTTAGTGTTTCTGAGATATCTCAGAACACACGTAGAATCTGACCACAACATTTCGCATGTGATGGCAGGGTTAAAGACTTGCGCAGAAATTTCAGCAGACGCGCGGATAATAAGGCACTTTGCAGCTCTAGTCTGGGAACGGACATATGTTTCATCGGCGAGACTCTTGATTTGGCCATCAAAAAACTACAATTCACACACTGGCCTTTCTTGGCACGCAAGTAAGCCACGGTACCATAAGCTTGTTCAGACGCGTCGCAAAACAAGTGGAGCTCATAAGTGGCGTCGGTTTTCGAGACTCCTAAATATTGTCTAGGCACACGAAAATTAGTCAATTGTTTTAACGATTCGGTCCAGTCGCCCCAAGTATTCTTCCTACGGTCATCAAAATTTTCGTCCCATTTCAAGTCATCTCTCCAGCACTCCCGTATAAGTAGTTTTGCAGTTAAAATAATAGGGGCTAAAATCCGAGAGGATCAAAAACCGATGCCGTCGCGCTTAGCGCCTCTCTTTTTGTAACAGGTTTTGCCAACGAATTGTAAATAAAGAAGAAATCATCGTCATTAGTGTTCCAGTGAAGTCCCAACGCCTTAGAAACGGGCAAACAATCAAAATCTAGATCAACATCAGGATTAAGACGATCTCTCTGTGTTAAAATTTCGACAATAATGTTTTGGAATTTGAAAGCCATTTTGTCAATCGAAAACCCCTACTTGCTAACATATTAGAAACTTCTTGTGCGACGGAAAAAGCGAGTCATCATTCCATTTTGATGAAAGCAGATCATCTACGTAAAAATCCCTGAGAACAGTTTCTACTGCTTCCGTTGAAAATTGGCTGGTATTATCAAGCGCGGTTTGTTTAAGGCAGTAATTTGCAACATATGGCGAGTCGACCGCACCAAAATCCTTACTAAAAACTGATGATACATCAGGTTGGGGATGTTGATCTTAGATCTTCTTGCCAGAAAATCTACTGAATCGGTGTCTGACTGCGGTAGACGCACCATATGATACATGGCTTCAATATCAGCGTTCAATGCAACGGGTCTTTCTCTGAATCGCAGTAAAACACCAATTAAATTATTAATAAGATCAGGTCCCGAATATATCTGATTATTTAAACTAATTCCACAATATGTAGCAGCGGCGTCAAAAACTATTCTTATCTTGCCGGGTTTATTCGGATTCTGAACTCCATGATGGGGCAGGTACCAAGTTCGAGGCCCAAAGTATCCGTTCTTTATCGGTCAGTTTTCGCACCCAGCCACGTTCGATATTTTCCTCATGACGTGCAGTACATGTCTCTCAGGCAGTATTTTTCAAAAGTCGATATTTCAGATTTTTAAATCTAGTGCGGGCAATAAGACTGTTCTCCGGCATAATGGAAGCATCGTGACGCCACAAAAAGCCAACTTGATAATGCCCATCAACAATGGACGTTTTAGCTCTAATCATATCCGCAGCCACGCGATCTTCCACTGATTCGGCTCGCTTCATGTTGTAAACCATTCCTATCGCGTCCGTACTCCAAAACTGCTTAACTTGTTCTTGCAAGATATTGTAATCGTCGTGTAATAAATGACAGTTGGCCTGAATTAGGTCGACTTCACCAGCGCGTTTGTTTGCACCTAGCAAAGTCCACCCAAGTGGCGTTCTAATAGCAATAGGCTCGTTATCCCCCCCTACACGTCTTTCTAGTTGAAAGTGGGCAAACGGATGGTCCGCACCTATGAGCAACATAACTTCGTTTTCTTTAATATCAGGGAGTGGTATTCCGCGTAAATGATGGAAAGTTTCAAAATCCGTTTGACGTCTTTCAGGGTGGGGAATTCTATTGTCACATACGAAAACTGATTTTAGAGCTAGTTCTTTGCCATCGGGATTTAATTTGACACGTACAAAACATCCAACCGCTTCTGAATCATATGAAAATCCCAGTTCCCGCCAGGGTGGTTAACATAAGCTTTTACGACATCCACGCAAATCCAATTTTAGTTTTAAGTTTAGGATGAATGAGAGAAACCTGACTTGCCGAATCCGAGCAAAGCAACGGTATATTCGGAGCGTCCATTAGCTCCTCTAACCAATACAGGTAGCAACTGAAATTGAACCCTAGTGGTTACCCGACATCGCATTGTTTACACCCCTGTCGGTTTGTTGGTCTTGGGACGCTTTCAAACATGCGAATTCCATGAATACATTTATGATGTTTCCCACTGCATATACTACACTTGACATCACATCTACACATAAATGCACGATGGCCCGGTTCAAGACATTTAAAGCAAAGTCTGAACTCTACAAACAAAATTACGTTTACGTCATCGGTTGCACCGTAAAACACATCACAACTTCTTAAAGAATGGCCAGCATTGCAGAATTGACAACGTAGTGCGTCACTGCATGAGGCATTAACGGATTCCGAATTTGTTAACGTTGAAAATGGTGACGTAAATTAACTGGCGACGACCGGTTTTGGGCCTCTCATTGTCAACTCTATTGGTGACATTGCAAGTAACATCAGGAGAAAAAGGATTGGCAATTTCCTCAGTTCTTTCCCACAACCATTGCTCAAAGTCTATTAATGTCGGATTAGAGTTCTCGTGAATAAAACCCACAACAAATTTATTCCAACTTGAATTCAGTTCTTGAGGAATCCTGTTTGAAAACTCTCCTTACATTCTCGACACTACTGATGTCAGCCAAAACACATCTTTTTTTAGATTCACCACGCAGTCCACGCACGTCTGAGTGAAAATTTAAGTAATCTATCGGGCCCGAGAGAGGCGAAATACGCCTTACCGTTCACAACACGGTCAAGCACGCCCCGTGCAATAAATACAGACTGTCCGTTAGCGGCGTTTCAATTCTTTCAAAACCAGTATGTAATGACTGCCGGCGGTCACCTAATCCCTCAACGCGACGCTTCGCCGAACCCGACAAATATGAAGGACAAATCTCACCATGCGTTGACCATCGTCGTCCAATCGTGCAATGCACATTTTCATAAACAATTCAATGAAATTAGGCCAAATTTATAGCACTACCATCAAACGGACTTATTTGGACCGGCGGCAAATGATGTTCAGCCCACATTTTAGAATTTAAACTCAAAATAAACACGTTTGCTCAGCTAGAGAAAATTTATCATTTACCGTTCTAGATCCTGCTTGATTTGGTTGGAGAATATCGATCCAGGAGTCTACCGACTGGTCTGGCAATGGCATCTGGTTTGCTGGTGAAGGATTTTGATAATGTCTTGAAGTGTAAGAAATCGTATATTCACGACGTGTATCTGTCGTAGTGAAAGTCTCTGGTTCAAAGCGGGCACTTTTTCTTCGAGTTGATTCTAACATATCGCGTTCGTCAAGGTCATTGAACCTGGGGTTCATAAAGCTACCCTTTGGGAGAGATGGTGTCTCTCGACGATCATCGTGTTCTCGTTTTTGTGGTTCGTGGGTTACGTTCCCCGCCAAGCTAGACTCTCGAAGTTGGTCAATCGCCGCCCCCATTTTACCATTCGGCTGTTGGGCCAAAGCTGGCTGATTGTTATCTTTCAGACTTCCGCTTGAAACATTAGAGTTCTTTTCGTCAGGTGCCACGCACGATGCTTCAGGTTCGCGGTCGATGTAACTATCAATTTCATCGATCATACCTTCAACTTCAGATATCACGCTCCGAACGCCTTCTTCGAAAGCAGCTTTTGACTCTGCATTGCGAATTTGAGGTGATATGTTCGATATAATTTGATTATAAGCGGCCAGTTTAAAATATAACTCTGCTTTAGGGCATGCCAGTTGCGATCTTCGAGCCTTTTCGTTTATCAAATTCCGACTATTGGTCAACAATGATTTAAGCTCGGTCTCTATGTTGACACGCTTTTGTCTGAGTGTGGTTAAGGATGGCAAGCTCTCAATTATATTATCGGTTACGGATTTACTTTCTTCCATACTCGTCGACGATGAAGCCACTGTTGCTTCAGATTCTTCAGTATTTGGCGACTTCTTCAACAAATGCGTCATATTCAACTTTGTCAGATTTAGGCACACAGATGTTCCATGTCATACGCGTTTATTGTAAAACGGTTGACTGTAAATAAAGTGAAATAGTCAATAAACAATCACAAGATGAAGGCGGAACGAAAATGCATAACCAGAAAGTTAATAGAAATAAACTTACATATGATAACGCTCCAAAGGCCTAAATCGACAAGAAACTGACAGGTAACGTGAACGATCACGTTATTAGAATATAATAGCAACTAAATTTAGAAAGCAGTTATGAAATGAAAGCAGAATGAAATATAAAAATACATGAACAATTAAAGCAATAAATGACGACGATGGTCATATGGGGCCCCGGTTACGATACCCTCACCACAGTTCTACCTAACGAGACCAAATGCCACCCACACGCTAAGTCAGTAAAGCGGATAATGCGAAACCACACCACTGACACCATAACAAGATTAAACAAGAACGTCCTACGACGCGTAAAGTCGAGATGCAAGAGCCACGCGTGACACGTCAGGTGCAGTAAAGCCCGCGAAATTCGCGTCAAAACAGAAAAGCAATTATCGATAAAAATTAGCCGGTCGGAACACAAGGAAGAACAGCGTTCAAAATAATAATCAACTGAAAAGAAACTTCTATCGCCGACACGTCTCATAAAGTGACGATGTGGTTATTTCTGAGAAAAGTTTTTTTGAGTTGGTGCTTATTTTGTCTTAGAAACGTGGATGACTCGTTTTTGGTTTGCGTACAAAGCAACTCAGACAATGAGTAAGCGTAACCATGAGTTCTGTCTCGAATATGAAAAGGAATTTGCTAATAACTACTACTATTGCGACATCGAGAAAAGGGGGAAATCAGTAATCAATGCCCACAATACCACCACAAAACATAATAAGCATTGCGGGATACCAAAGTAAGGAGACCTTAGATCAGGGGTCGGCCACCTGCGGGCCATATCCAGTCCGCAATGCTTCACCTAAACTGAAACCTACGGATCGTTATTATGTTGTTCTTGTTCTTCATTAATAATTCTTTTTCCCATCGTTATCAAAAAATCGCTTTTGATTTCAATTACTGATCCAAAATGAAATTTTCCGTGCGGCGAACTAGGATTATAGTGATAGATTACCGAAGATCGTTATATATATCATGTATTTTGGTGAAGGTCATCAGGCTGTAGGGATGAATGAGATGTACGAAAATCATTATTAAAAGTTTGTGAAAATTAACTTTGTTTTCATTATTTTAATGTGAAATGGGGTGAATTTAGGGAGTTAAATGCTATGCAGGGTTGCCATCTACCCATCTAGAAAATGTTCTAATTTTGGTTTTATTCAGTGTTTCACCTGATGTCGAAAATGTATCAAGCATAATGCAACAAATAGTGTTACATTAAATGTTATTTGTAAATATTTTAAGTAAGACGACTTGAGTCCACGCAGTGTTTGCTCGCTGAATAAAGTCTAGAACTTAAATTTCTAATCTGTATAAATAATGTGGTTCATCAGCCAGCCGTTCAGTTTTTATCTTTCTCGAAAAATTATGTGCGGCCCGCCGAGATTTGTAACACTTGATTTTGGCCCGCGAGCAACAAAAAGTTGCCCCTGCTTTAGAGATTGCGTGTGGCAGTGACCTCATAGCTTTTTGTGATTTTGGAGACGAGTACAACCGTGTTCTAAGCGACTTCTAATGATCAAAATTGGAAGACTCGTGTATGATCTACTTCTTGACGCCCGTGCTTATTTTTGGCACTGGGTAGATGGCAACCCTGCATAGCATTTAACTCCCTAAATTCACCCCATTTCACATTAAAATAATGGAAACAAAGGTAATTTTCACAAACTTTTAATAATGATTTTCGTACATCTCATTCATCCCTACAGCCTGATGACCTTCACCAAATACATGATGTATATATAACGATCTTCGGTAAAATTCATCCTCGATTTGTCATCCTACCATGGCTTTCAGTCCGATCATCAATCCATATAATTAATTAGCCATTTGCTTTAGATTCATGGACTCGGATGTGGAAAAAGCCGTGACCGACTATCGGCTACGGCCCAGGGGTCAGCAAATTTTATGTCGCTCGCGGGACAAAATTAAGGATTGATAGTCTTTTGCGGGTCGCATATATTTTTTGAAGGTTAGAAACGGAACAGCGCGCGCAAACTGCGATAATTCATGAACTCAACTCAGTCGTCTTATTAAAAATTGAATATAATGACATTTTATGTGACACTGTCTTGTTGCTGCATCACGCTTTATAGCATTACGACGACAAGGAAAAATTTCTAAATGGACATCACTAATCCTAGTTCTTTGTATGTTCTTTGTAATGTTCATTTTCGAAAACAGTATTTCGCACAAATATGTACTTCCAAACATCGAAGTGAATATTTTCGCATGGTTTGTGAAATTTTGATAAAGATTTTCCTCAAGAAGTTACATTATTACAAAAATTAAGCAGTGATCAATCTCTCGAATAGAATATGAATTTTATTTCCTTATTGCATTGCAATATATTTGAATATTTACTGCGATATTGAACCCCTGCACTCAGCATCAACTTTTCTGCGTGTTGCCACTTGTCTAATTATAGTTGAGTTGTAGGCTCGTTAAACGAGTAGCTGTTCATCAAATTGTTAGGATATGATATAATTTAGTCTAAACGGGTCTCACGATAAATTTTGTTACGTAAAAAATGTAATTTACTCCTCGAGCGTAGATTATAAATAAAATTAATTCATCGTCAAAACGCCGTTTTGTCTGTATATTGGATGTTTCCCCGGGCATAGACTTCCTTGTTTATTTCGTGACATTGGCCAATCAGCAAGATGCAAATATGAACGTAAGAATGTCCCATTACGCATTCGCTCAGACGCTTTTCTCGCTCAGACAGATTTTCAAGCGTGGTCGTAAACATTACCTCAACTTCTCGGGTTTTGAATTATATTCGATTGTTTTTAGTAGTGTTTCGGAAATTTGAATGAAAATCAAATAATTTAATGATCACTATTTGCCTAGGAGTTTCAGTTTAATTGCAGTAATCAAAAATTAGAGTAGAAATAGCTGTGATAAATTAAGCTAAAATTCCATACCGGTAATTTTAAAAAACAGATTGTTGAATGGAATGAATTAGAATGATAGTTTGAAATACCCCATTTTACAGGCAACAACTCGCGAAACCACTCTTAAAATAAGCACCGAAAACTTTAAAATGGTAAAGTATAGGAAGAATTTTCCGGGGTCAAAGGTCGGGGAAATATCCAATCAGTGAATCGTCCCGGGTCAGATTATTTTACTCCGGCCGTATTTTGCCGACCACTGGGATACGCAAAGTACCGCCTTACGGCGGAGACGAGTCCTTTCGCGTATGATATTTCCCACGTGATTCAAACCTACGAAAGCACGCAGAGTACAGTAATCAAGTGCACGATGCCCCGAACAAAACCAGTTTTTACGAAATCGCCCCCTTAACACCCCCCTTCGACTTTTTCGCCCTCCTCTGTATCGTTTTCGCCCATCGGGGGTCGATATCACCCACTTTGGGAATCACTGGTCTAGAAGGCTATTACTTTTATTTGTTATAAAATGTCCTATGAATCAATCATATGAGACCTGAATCTGTGATTTAATCCGAATTTCCGCTGTTTTATTCATTTTTTCGCGGGAACATCGTTATGGCGTCAAGGCTGTCATTCGTTTTGATTTCTCGAACTCGGTTCTCAGACACGTTTCCGTGTGAGTCGCGCGTGGGCTACCAGCACTGCGGTTAGGTTTAGTACATTTGTGGGTGATCCCGAAGTGTGTTCACCAAGATGGCGCACAACCTGAACATAGTATGTGTACCAGATTGGGGTTCAGGTTGTGCGCTATCTCGGTGCACATACTTCCGGAGCGCCCATTCACATCTATATATTTACACTTTGCTTTCTTGTTTATGATATTTTTGAATGTACCCTGCAATCTGGAGTAAATGTCAATAAGCATTAATACATATCGCAGAGTATACATTGCATAATTCATAATATATATATACCATCAATCTCAACACTCCGAGGTCGGCTCTCCTGAAGTGTGTGTACAGATATGGAGGTAACTAATTTTGTTCGCCTACTTTACACTAAGTTGTTTAAAGGGACTAAAACCTATGGGCAGGGGGTATATTCACTTGTCTAACAGAGGCAGTCACCGAATTCGTAATGGAAATAAAACAAGTAAGATCGGAATAAAATTATGGCCTAACCCTAACCTGGTACACACACCACGAGAGTACCCCTAGGTCTAATTGACACGCAGCTCAGAGTGCTAAAATTTTTCCACATTTTCTACGAAGTATTTGAGATATATAATGAAATGTTGTGTACAATGTTTACATTTTTGTATTTTATTACATTTGTTGAACATATATTTATTTATAGCGAAATTTCAAATAATATTTAAATGAAATATATTTCACCCAACTGGAATTTGCTTTTAAAATTACTTTGAATCTACATATCTTTACTAAATTGTAATACATCAATTTTAAATTTAACAGCCCAGTTAAATGATTCAAAAAATATTGCGAGTTCGGAAATATTTGCTGCCAATCTGTTTTGAATGGTTGAAAATTTCAATTTATTTAGTCTACTAGCGTGTATCATAGCTAGCAACTAGATTGTAGACCAAGTGTTTCCTGTATTACCTTTTCTTACAATTCGAATCAATTGGAATCAATGTTGCGCGAAAGATTTGTAACGTATGGCAACTGTTTTCAAATAGAGTAATACTTTCTTTATTTTCATTTTACAAAAAACAGCAGAGAACATGAGATTGAATATAAGCAAAATAGATAATACTACGATGCGGATTCACGAAAAAGTCATGGAATATTTCAGTTGCGTAGTTTGGGAACGATATTTAGAAAAGTTTGCAGAAAAATTAATCAAATATTCTGTGAAATTGTTGTTAATAAATATTTTGTGAACGTGATTTTTGTTACAGAACATTTGTTTAACATTTATGTTGGTATGATAAAATGTTAGCAATATTTTTGATCGTTTTCTGTGCATCACAGTGTATTGGACAAGGTACGTGAAATTTTATCTAAATCAGTGCGTATTTATGTTTTAAATTTATATGTAATGAAATCTCGAAAATGCAAGTCGCCACGAGAATCCCAAAAAGTCAGAAAGTATATATTACTCATTCGGCGTAATGCTAATGCATGCAATTTGCTCAAATGAATTCGGTTCACTGAATGACACCGGTTTACGATGTGTAGGGGTTCATTTAATTATTTCAATTGGGTATCATAAACCTATTTCTCAACTTAAAACCCCGTTATATATGAATAACATGTAGTGTGGAGGCAAAGTAAGAAAGTTTGTCAGCTGTTTACTGACTGCAGTGAAAAAAGTGCACACTTTTAATTCTGTTTTGTTTTATTGGTATAAATACAGTTTTTTATCACTGGGGTAATAACATTAAATATTAATAATATTGAATAATAATAATGTTGCTCTGCCATATTGACGGTTTGGTCAACACTCAAAACGCGCACTCGTATATTAACATTATAATAGTCATTCTCGTAATACAAAACATACATGATTCGAGTAAATTGCAATAAAGTACTACTTCGAACACAGGATCATCTCAAGCATCTCCGTGTGAGGGTCCAGGTAGATATAATTGTGGAGACGGAGTTTGCATATCTAGAGCTAGACTTTGCAACGGAGTAAGAGACTGCCGTCGTGGTCAAGACGAATTAGATTGCGGTAAGTCACATTGTGAACTAAATATTTTGCCAACTATTTTTGTAAAGAGATATTTTATTTGTTATCGAGTTTTATATTTATTTCTCATTATCAAATTAATATAACTTCTTACACTTCAAATATAATTCAATATAAATGAATAAATTAAACTTGAACACTATCATTATGCTCCACAGAATCAGTTTTTAGTTTTGTTACCGTTTCATTGAAGTTGTTACCTCATCGTTCAACTTTAGCTCCAGCCGTTTGCGCAAGAAACGATGTATGGCGGCGGCAAAACAATTATACTTGCAAGCGAGATTGTGCAAAAAAACGGAGCTGTAGAGGTGATCTAAAGAAATGTATATGTGATGACGAGTGTGGACTGAGTTGCATTAATCCAAGTAAGAACTTTGTCTCAATAATAAATAAAAAATGATAATTTCAAAAAAGCTGCATTTGAAAGCAAATTGATATTTTAGATTTTTTAGTTATTTACTTCAAACAAAATCACTTCTAAATACAATCAAAAATAAAGAGTGAAAGTGCAAACAGTCACTCGCTTCTGACAACAACATTAATTTATCGATACTCCCAAAGTATGTGAACCAAGATGGCAGCAGATCAATTGGTACTCCCGGAGAATGGAAACCAAGATGGCTGACACCGGAACGTAGTTCGTGTACCAGGGCTTAGGCCATAATTTCAGGAACGAATACTACGGGAGGCACCTGGCTATTCCCGAACTCGTGATAGAACTAAAATAAAGACAATTGGAATAAAATTATGGCCTAACCCTAACCTGGTACACATACTACGTTTCGATGTCCACCATCTTGGTTCACATACTTGGTTCTGCTTATAGGTTTTTCGGCTTATAGGTTTTTGTTGTTGTTGTATTTATGGGTAAAATGAAAGTTATCTCAGCAATAACCGGTGTATTCACTGCTCGTCAGATTGCACATTTATTCTCGGAATAAGAATATCCCAATGGCCATCATACATTGCGATAACTCGAAAATATTTTATTTGGAATGTTGTTTACAAACAGTAAACAACTGATATTATAATAAATGCAATCGGCAAAAACTACATTGTCATGCAATTTAACGGGAATCAAATATTGATTGTGAAAATATGACATGTTGATCATTGTACCCCTGTATGACCCTTGTACGAACGAGTGCTCGTCTGTTTATATAAAAATCTTAGGAAACCTTATTGGAGGAATTGAAAACGCTGCGTATTTGTTCAGTTGTCACGTGACGATCATGGCAGAAATAATACTTAATTTGAGTTGTGTGCGCAATTGGTACCCTGGTGTGAAACTGTAATTTCTAGCTCCCCAGGTTTTTTAAATGATGATATTTTTATTAAAACAAGATCCCACTTTAGTGAATGATGCCACTGTGATATTACATCAATGTAAAATGAGAAACTGACGAACATACAGGAAACAATTATGAAACTAAGTGGGCCAAAATCAATGACACTTATGACTGGCGTGCCGTTTATTTGACAGGCCATGCAAACTCGACAAATTTTCATCATTTTATCGTCGCAAAATTGTTTGTGAAAATCACAAAATGCAATTCATGACTAGTAAGAATATTATTAGCAAAAAAGACGATTGCATTTTAAAATATGGTAAAAATTCATCATTTTTAAATCAGAAGGCAATTGTCGAAATTTTATAGACCATTAATAAATTTTTCATAAATATCAGTATATCATTTTGCTCACAGAACTTCAATTTTTTTAAGATCGATTTTTGCTTGCTAAAGTAAATATTAGTTTTTATCTTTGCCATTGGGACGGAACGAATTTGACTTATTTTTTGCTATTACGTACCCCCATTAAGTAAAATATAGCCAACGTTCAAATGACACAGAGGCAAATGTCATATTAAATTGCTCTCATATGTAAAGCAAAAGATTTCCTATGGATTAAAATAAAATCGCAAATTTTTTGGTAAAATATCGGGATCCATCGAAAAAAAAAACAGAAATAAAAGTAATACATTTTTAGCGACTCAATCCATCCCAAATTTTTGAAAATTGCTATTATTTGGCCAAGTAGTTGCGCAGAAGCAATTTTTTTTTGCTTTTCATAACATATGTATATACATAAACAAAAACTTAAAAATATAAACCACTTTGCAGAGTGATTTTCGATTTGATAGAAAGTAGAATACCAATGAACTTGTCTGCACCAGTGCAAATCAAGTCTGTATTATCCGACTTACATGAATTCTGAAATAACTATTGATTAGTTTATTTTGTAAGTACACATTTAGGTAAAAGCTCACATATGCTTCCATTTAAGGAATCAGAGTGAACAATGAGAATATGAATAGTTTCTTGAACTATATTAAAATAACGCCAAGTATTTCAACTAAAATTAGTTAAAAACGTATTTGTTCAATCAAACCTTGGCGCTCCAGAAGTATGTTTACCAATATGGGGTAACTAATTTTGTTCGCTTACACCAATTTGTGTAAGGGGACTAAATCCTATGGGCAGGAGGTATATTCATTTGGCTAAAAAAGACAGTCCCCGAACTAAAATAAGGAGAATCGGAATAAAATTATGGCCTAACTCCAACCTGGTAGACATACTACGGAAGTAATCAAACTTTGTTAAACTCAAAACGTCAGGCGCGGCTTAGGGCCTGTATTTGCCACGTTTTAGACAATTTTAATTGGTTTTTCATTTTATTGCAATGAAGTTAAAGTGATGTACAAAATTTCACACTAGATATGCCCTGCATTCTATGACAGTCTTAAAGTAAAAACTGTGATTACATAGCTTGTAGACAAAAGTTTAGAATATGCATGTTTTAAATTTCGGCAGGTTCAGTATGTGAAGACGAACCACCAACTGTAGAACACGCCATGTACCGGAATATCAGGCGAACCCATTTAACTGCAAACGGTTCCAAACGTCTGGAAATTGTTGATCCAGTAAGACCTCCTTATTACTTGTGGGACATGGTAACTTACACATGTGAACGTGGACGACGTTTAGTTGGCCCTCTACCGAGATGCGGTGGGCATCGACGTTGGACCAGTGATGTTCCGGAGTGCGTAGGTACACATAAAATAAACTAATTAATACAGTAATAATGTAACACTAATTGGGGAAATAATTAAAGCTTTTTATAGCATGAAATTTACATGGCTTGTCCATTGGACATATTTTTCTGTCCCATTCCCATTCCATAGCAATTATGCCTGTTCCATCCCATGGGATTCCCATTGGAATAAAATTCAATAAAAATTGGTAAATTTAGGTTTATCGTCTACTGAATAGGACTGCATGTACGAATAAACATGTAAAACATCAAAATTTACGGACTTTGTTAACTTTATATTCATAACTATTATACATGCGTCCATCAGCCCCTACACGAAGTATATTGTTGAAGCTGAATATATTTTGCACTTTATAACTAACAATAGAGCTATGCTCAAATATATGGACACGAAACGCATTACGAAATGTTTTACCATAATTTCCCCGAAAATATTACGGTTTTGGTGTCCCACGTGTCCTATACATATGCGTGCTGTCCCATCCCATCTCATGGGACGTTTCCCTTGGACAAGCCTGGAAATTCATATTTATATTCGTACGATCCTTACATTGTAATGTACACTAGACTAACGAAGAATTCGCTCAATCATTGCATAATCCATATATTTTGTACTGTGGTACAAATTTGTGGCGTCATTTTACAACGTCTAATGCCATATTCATTGTATCTGATGATAAAGTATATTAGAAAAACACCGTGTTAAACCCAGGGTATTACATTCAAACAATAAAAAAATTAATAAAATTAAAAAATAACTTCAAAATATAAAAATGAGCAAATGATACCAGTACAACAATACAGCCTAACAATATTTTTATAGATATTTCATGCAGAAATCCTGTCCCCAATGTATGGCATACAATATATCATCGTTATTTGAGACAGGGCAACGGAAGAATGTTGCCAGTTTCAAATAAAACAGTTCCTGTCTTGAATGACGTTGTTGAATACACATGCCAAGATGGATTATTTCTCACGGGGGAACCTCCAAAATGTGTTGATAATGGCATGTGGTCAGCCCACACCTTGCAATGTGTTGGTATGAATCTTATATATCAGACTATATCTCATTACTCACATAGGTCAGCACGTGTGTGATTCTATGCCTATGAACCAATTAGTGTAATGTAGTAATTTGGTTTTGAAAATGCACTGTATTGCGATTGTTTATGGAAGCAAAGCCATGATTCACGGCAGAAAATGGTGCAGATGAAGATGAGCTCCATTACGGTCATTTGTTCCTGTTTGTGTTATAGTTTATCAATATTATATCATGTTTCACTGAAATATTGATTTTTTTCAAATATACAGTACCATGCTTTGAGAACTTTGACCAGGAATTGATATCAAAATATGATTTAACATGTGGAAGCAGTTGCCTTACTACAGCAGATTGTGGCACGGGAATGGAATGCTTTTGCGATGGACCTTGTTCTCGAGTTTGCGTTGATCCAAGTGAGTAATATTTAAAATGTAATAATCTGCAATAAATCATGACCGAAAACAATTTAAGTTCTGCGGACATCGGTGGTATATGACCAAAGTATAACATACGATAATGTACAATTCTCACCTCACTCATTCTCGGGATGCCGTGTTGTTGTAAAGAACTGTATTTGTCCTAGTTCAACATATACACCAATAGGTATCAAATATGTCGTTTTTACTCGTACTATTGGTATGTACGCGGTATGAATGGTAAGGAGAGTAATATAAGTGGGAGACAATGTGGTACAGAAGTATGAATAGTGCAAGTAGTAAAATAGACACTAGCGAAACATGGAACGTGGCCAACGTCCATAACTTGTCACAATTTTCCACGCGTTTACCATGTTCAAGTAGATCGCGTGATGCACGCTGCACTACAGATAAAAAATGTGCTTTTCTACATGTTAAAAAATGTGAATCTTGTGTAAATGTTTGGGAAGGGGGCAGTCTAAGATGCAAGTGAATAAAATATTGAATTGCGGGTTATTTTGAAAATAATGAAACTATTTCAAGTTCAAAAAAATTTATACATTGTATGAAAAATGCTGTTCTGGTGTATTTCAACTGCAATGTTTAAAATATCTACTGGGGATACATGTTTAGTAACTGGTAAAGGTCGATTTATGAACATTCTAAAATACCTATCCTAGACATGCTCAAGAAACTTATACACTATTTTTACTATATAATCCAAATAAGCTTTAAAATATTATTTTTATTTATCAAAAGATACTTATTAATTAATTCAATGCTTCTGTAACTTTTTAGATATCACATGTCGTGAGGCGCCCGAAGTACAGTACGCTACTGTTAATTACACCGGATCTGCAATACGTGAAGTTGCCAGATATTCCTGTGATTACGGATATTACTTGGCCTATGGAGATCTCTCTCTTTACTGTTCAGGGTCGGGGTTCTGGATTGGAGACGAACCTATTTGCATGCGTATGTATACTTAAAGTGGTTGGTATTTATATATATATATATATATGCTGTAAATACCTGTTTTAAATACCTGTAAAAAAGTAATCAATTTCAAAATATAATATTTTATCACCGGGACAAAACAAAATTTATTTTGTGTAATTATGAGATTTTTCATATATTCATACATTTTCTAGAAATCCTATTTAACTAAATTGCCTTCTATGTTGGTGAATTTTTTGAAATACCATACTATTTCGCAATCATTCAGAAAGATGTTTAGAATTGCTCTCAAAGTAACATAATTCTCTTAATTTAGCTGTACAATGTGGCGACCCCAGTACGAGTATACAGGAGACAGGGGGATCAATCCGATCTTACGATGGAACACATGTGAGAGCTGTAATAAAATTCAGATGTCCTGTTGATTATAAAATGTTTGGAGCAATAAAACGAACTTGTTTAGGAAATGGTAAATGGAGTGGACCACTGACAATTTGTGATCTGCGAGGTAACGAAAAAAATACAAGAAACTACAGAGTCTATTTTTGCGGTTTGTTATAACAACATCATATCCTTTATTCTTCAACCGTTGAATACTTCAGAAAAATATATAAATGTTATCTCATAAATTCAGTTTTTCATGGGACAAAAAATAAATGAAAATTATTTGGCTAGGGCGGGGGTGACGAACCCATTTGCTGTCGCGGGCCACTTTATCAGTCACCGTGAGTGAGCGGGCCGCACATTTTTACTATCGTATGATACCTGTTGATTTTCATCTACAAAACGAACAACGGCATCCATACAGCTGATGTTATTCAATTATATAATGCAATATAAACGCTCGGCTCGGATGTTCGAGATCCGAATTTCCATTCAAATACCACAGCATTTTTAACACGAAAGTTTGAGTCTACTACCTGCGTATTAATGCAAAATCAATTTTTGATGTACTGATTGAAATAAATTGTAGTCTTTGATATTTTATAGCAGATCTACGGATTTAAATATAATTTGGCAGTTGGAAACCCTTTTTATGGCCGTGAATTGATGTGATATTTCATTGTAGTAATGTTCTCAATTTGTAGACGCAGCCGCATGTTACATTAAACACAGAATTAAAGTTAGAAAGCAATAAATTAAAAATAGACTCCTATTGGTCGCCAATGAAATACTTTGCACAACTGCAAAATCGCTAAACGACAACATAACATAACAGTAAAAAACATTATCCGTTGAAAAAGTGGGCTCTTTTCACGAGTGGCCTGCCTAACTGCGTCGAATGTTGCATAAAAATTTAGGGATTCTTTACACTTACCCTTTCCCCAATGATAATATCAACCTACGTTATAGAATCTTCCTTCATGACATTTTGTGTCGCGTTAACATGCAAAATTCTAGTTGATAATGCCTCAGAAAAGTATTTCGGGATCCTATGTACAAAGATTCCATATAAAAAACCACAGCCTCCGCTCAAAATTGAATGTAAATTATGAATAATTTAATTACATTTTTAGGGTGGATAGAGGCTAAGAATCCAGGTTGCGTCGGAAATTCAAAACCTCAAATCTTTCCTGACCCGAACCGCAACTGGATAGTTACTAACTTGTTTTTTCAGTAGTGTTTTTTTTTTTAATTTCACATTTTTGCATTAGTGATGGTGGCTTTGTACAATAGATCAGTATTTCGCAGGCCTTCGGATGCAAAAACCGTAAACGAATCTCTCTAATCACGATTAACTGATTTTTAAAACGTAGGCATTTATTTGAGATCTACCATTGTTTTATTTATTGAGCGGAAGTTTCAAACTTTTTATTACTTTCAAATATAACGTATATCGTGCACAAAAATATCACATTTTCATAAAGTGAGATTACTCCAATCTCACTTTATGAAATTATGTAATTCTCTATTAAACTGTATGCGTTTGCCGATAAGAGAGCGTAACTATGCTACGAGAATGGTCATTTTGATCCATTGTTAGAAGTATCGATGATCCAAAAAAATAGATGTGTCGGAAATAGTGTTGTTGTCGGTAATATGAATACGGTAACATTTGCGCTTCCGTTCTCTCTGTACAGTTCTTGGAGGTTTGTGACTTTACGCCAAACATACACTGACTGCTTCGCGGGCCGCACGAAAGTCCTTGGCGGGCCGCAGGTTCGTCACCTCTGGGCTAGGGTGTGAATTAATACTTAAACTTTATCATACTTCAATTATACAGAAGCTGATTTACAAAGAAATTTTTATACTCGTATCGTCACCTAATGAATTCCTAATCTTCAGCATCCTAATTTATATGTACAATTGAACGTAATAACATTCTAGACAAAGAAAAACGGTGCCCTCATCCCGGAGTTCCAATCGACGGAAGACTAATAGGAGATGATTTTTCAATCGGATCCACAGTCAGATTTCGTTGTGATTATGGTTACGTTTTATATGGAGATGAAGAACAAACATGTTTATGGATGAAAGAATGGTCTGGAACTGGCATAGCTCCTACCTGCGTTGGTACAATTTTTGTTGAACTCAAATATCTTGCATAATAAAATTAATAAAGTTATAATTCCATTTACCATTTTATTATAAAATTGCACATCTTAAGCAATCAACTTTTTATACAAATTATGTGTTGAATTTATAATTGTTCAATATGATGCTTATGTAAACAAATGGTGTAAAAAAAATTGTGGTTGGTAAAATAGTTGATATCATACATGTATAAAATATGTGATACATTTATGTAAATCTTGGTCGAAAATAATTGAAAAAAAAAATAATGAAATATTTAAAAATATATATAATTTCAGAAAATTCCTCATAATTCTCAACAATTTCTTCGATATTATCCCTCAGAAAAATTTGTCTTGAAATTTGCATCAGCTTTCATAGTATAAACTTACTTCATCATTATAGATCCTCGGTATCCTCATACTGCTGGAGATGTTATCGGCTCTTTGACACGATCGCTATCTAATTTGCCTGATCAGCAAACAAGCCTTGGGAGATTTATCAGCGCAGAAGCGACTGAAGCGCAGGAAATTTACTTCATGTTCGATGTTTCACAAAGCGTTCTGAAACGGCCAAAAGATTTAAAAGACGAAATAGAATTTGCAAAACGACTTGTTAAACGGGTAAATTAAAGTAAACTATAATTAAAAAATATAACAATCTAGCAGCATATTCAATCAAGTAAGATTTTAATGTCAGATATTTTGACAAGATTTTTATTCAAAGTTAATTAGACGAGTAGAATAAATGTGACTGCAATGATCCAACAAAGCGTTTTAACAGTTAGTTGCTCGTAAAAATCTAATGAAAAACGAATGGGTGTTTTTGAGGCTCAATGAAACTGACATCAGATTGTAAACTTCTATCCTTCTATAATGATTTTTTTGAATATTCATTAAAATAGATTATTTATACTCTTTTTACTCTCTACTCCCAAAGAAAAGTTAGCCAGCGTTGTCAGACACTGTGTTGAAAAACATATTTTTGTCAAATTTGAATTATTTTAATTAAGATGGAAGGATTCAAGGGAAAAATACATTTTGGAATAATGGTTTTTGCATCTAAAAACGTGACGGCCCTAGATATTTCTGAAAGTAAAACTAGACCGAAGAGTATAAAGCAGATATTAGGAACATTAGATCGAGTCTACCAAGAAGGTACATATCATAAATATCACTTTTTTGTTGATGATCAATCGATTCGGTCTGTTCAACTTTATTGTTGGCTTGTACTTCATATTACTAATCAAAATAACCTATTACGTTAGCAAGTCTGGATGATCTGTTTGGTGAGGGTTATTTCTTGGTGCGAGAACCTAGGTAAAAATGTTTAACAAAACTCATCAGTATTATAAAATTTAATATATATAACTTTCAGCTGCTTCCAAAAAATACAAGAACCAAACACGATCCGGAACAGCAACCGCTTATGCCTTGTCGCAACTTGAAAACATGATTGCATGGATGAACATCACAGACGAAAATAATAAAACTAAAAGACATGTTTTTATTTTCACCGACGGTAAGGTTATGACGGTATAGGGCAGAATGCAAGAAAATTATTTCGTTATTTAGGTTTTTAAGGAAAACGATTGGAAATTTTGAAGTCAAGGATTTTCTCGAAGCCTAGAACGCTTTTAGAGGCAGGGCAATCATGAAATATAGGCTACGTTGATTGTCAAGAGAAACCTCAACTAATCCCATACACTAACGGAATATTCTCAGTTAGAGGATGCAATATATTTTGTGACTTGCTGTAAATTTAAAAAATGTTATTTGTGATTTTTCGATGAAACTACTTTACAATAAATCTATGTATGCATATGCTACTTTTTGATTTTTCAGGAAAACACACAGAAGGATCTAATCCCGTCGACAAACGAAAACAGATGGAACGTCAATACAAATCGAATATTGAAGTATGCAATATTTTGTAGTTGTTTTGTTGAATCTAATAGAGTCTGCAATAATCATACAATATTCAGTGAAAATTAATGGTAATTCATCTATCTTTTTGAAAGACTTTTCAGAAAAAAACTTCTGCAGATCAAATTTTTTCAAATTTTGTTTCCAAATGATTGAAATACGATGTACTCTCTTGTGCTTTCCCCGATATATAAACGACTGGAAACGGTATGAAAGTTGAAAAGTTTGTGCCACATTTCAGATCAACCCGAAACCTACTACTGTAGTTTCCTAACGTACATCCAACTCAAGACTTTTAGTTATTTGAATTACATTACGACATAATCGTTCAGTAATACCACGGCAGTCATTCATGAAATGAACATGAACGTGACGTCCGTTCAATTTTCTTTCTCGGCATGTTCAAGCATTCTATATAATTTCCATTTAATATTCCGATAAATACCAAATCAGACCATTAGATTAATATCATTTCGTTTGTTAAGTTTTACAGCATAACAGCTTGCAAGAATTGCCATGTTGAAAGTCATACAGAATTGCTTGGACTCTCATCTGGAAAAAGTGGAGAAAACTATATTTACATAGAAGATTTTTATCAACTTACGAGTTACCTTGATAAAGTTACCGACGTAAAATTGGGTAGGAATTAATTTATATTTATAGCCAGTAACGTTCCGAATAATTCGAGAATGAACTAAAGATACAATTATAAAGATAAAACTTTATGATTCTATCTATGCATGTGTGTAGCCGTATACAATCAAGTGAATTCAGAACATTTTTGTGACATAAAATCCTGCACATCAACCCCCATCATTATCGCGAGAAATTCTGTGATTGAATGTCAAAGTAATTATTTGATAGGTTGAAAATATTTCTTTCGCTTATGTTATCAATATATCTGTTGTTATCAAGGTTGTATTAAAATGAAATGAAGTTGTTACGGTCAATGTTTCAAACCCTTGTTATTATATAATTTGAAACCACATAAAATTTCATGAATTTACAGATTTTGCAAAATGCGGCCAAGCTGGTAACGTGGGAAGCATAAAACAACAAGCTAGCTTAGCTCGATCAACTGGCGGAGAAGACGCCGCTGAAAATGCATGGCCCTGGCAAGTTTTAATCACGGGCAAATTACAAACACCAGAACTGGTAAAACATAGAGTAAATATGTAAAAGCTATTGCAAATTATATCGGAATATCAATGTCAGTTGTAGCAAGATAATAATCAGAATTACCGACGTATAATATTTATACGTATAATACGTATATTATTATAATAGATGGGAACGTGAAGCATGTTGCTAATGACCTAGCAACGTAGTCTAACTGAATTCAGGCCATTTTCTAAAAAATTTGTTATTCCCGATCAAAAATACTCTTAATCCATTCTAAATTATCCCAGTGCTAATTAACATGAATCAATTTAAATATGCACAAGGAAATTCGTTGATAAAATTGTAATATTGGCTCTCGCTTTCATTTTTCTTCAGTTACGATCCTGCTTTAAAGTACTACTTAATTGGGTTCAAGATTGGATTATACTTGATTTTGTGTTTCGACATCGGAGGATTGTCCGGAACTTAAATTATTTTACGATTGCGACGAGTTGTATGAGAATTCAATTTAATTTTCAATAACTTGAAAACCTTCAATTTAATTTTAGAGTTTAAAGGATGAACAACTGATTGGTGGAGGTTCGATTTTGAATGAAAAATGGATATTAACGGCTGCTCACGTACTTTGGAAATTCTATAGAAATTCTAGATACCCTGACTGGCTGGAGGAATTCGTGTTATTTGTGGGTAGGATATTTTATTTGTAACTTCGCGTTATTTGTACACTGCTTTTCTGACCCCAAACGAAACCAAATTGTTCCCGAAAACAAAGTGATAATAATTCGGATGAACAAAATGACACAATTCTGCCTATTGTTAATACATACAATAATTATGCTACTGAATACCAAATAAAACGAGGTATGAACGAAGAAATCCTTGAAACACGATATTTTATATATACATACTTATTCATACGCAGCCATAAGGCAATCACAAACTCATCAGCAGAAAATCGTCGACGTGAAACATTTTTTTAAATCATCAATATTTCCGGTAAAACATCGAATCAGAGTCTCAAAATCAGAAAAAAAAGTAATAGCCTTGTAGAAAATACTTGTATTTTTTCAAAATGGTCCCTAAAATTCTTAGTATAGTATTTAAAAAGTAAGTTGCTGTTAATAATTTAGGAACACAGTTCTTAGGCCCAATTCGTTTCCAATAACGAAAATGCCTTTCACGCAATACATAGCAGAGTTTTCGGATACATGTTTGGTAAGTGGTCCCAATTAAGGATTGTTGGCTAGTAGTAGTAGTAGTAATACAATATATGGTAATCATGTTGGACACGAAACGTACAAATCGATAGTTTTACTCTTATTGGTGCCCTTGTAGTCTACACGGTTATTTAAGAAAAACGTCTTTTTCCACAGCTCCTTGGCCAAACTAATCAAATTTTCAATACTGTATAGATGGATAAATTGAATGGAATTCGATTCGGACTGCGATATTTTACCCACAGTTTATCAGTACACTTTATTTGAAATATCGGGACACTTTTCTCGGTCGCTCTTGCCCACCGATCCTTTTTCAACAAACTCACTTCCCAGCTGAGGCTTATCGTATTGGTACAGATGCGCGTACAATGTATTTGCGAATTACTCTGTTGTGGTTATTACAATTCGATGACGATAATAAAAAATGATAGACTTTTTTATTTTAAAATATTAATATAGGTTTTGTAGATAGCCATTCAAAATTTACTTTTTTATTCAATATTATACATAACCAGAAATCAATAATCATTCAGGGATATTTAATCGGCCTACCATGCGCAATGAGAAAATCAGATCTACCATCAAAATGTATTCAATCAGGGAATACATTCCTCACGAAGAATATTTGAATGATGAGAGTAATATTTTCGAAAACGACATTGCTTTGGTAAGAGTTCAATTTTTGACAGAAAAAATTGTGGAATCCTTCTGTAGCAAATCATCCGGAAGCAGTGAATAAATTCGGAATATTTAATATATACATTATGAGTTTTGTTGGGATACAATTATAACTGGTATTCAGAGATCATGAATCTTAAAAGCTGGAATTTGTATAAAATGTCGTCTAGGTAGGTGGGGGTTCATTCTATAATTTTGTTAAAATGTTGTTGCTAAAAACTAAGTATGTTTAGCACATACTCAACCCACACGGCAAGTTTATTTTGCTTTACAGATAAAAATTGGACCAGAGTTTGATTCAAAAATGAAGGCCATTGGTGTTGATAAGTTAACATTTGGATACTACATTCGTCCCATATGTCTACCTTGCACTAGAACATGCTTGAAAGAAAAGCAATTGGTTGACGAAGATGGAATATCATTGATAAACGAAGGAATGAATGAAACACAGAAATGTTTGAAAGAAGGTTTGTCAATTTAATTTACCGTGGAGTGAAATTTGTTTTTCAAGAAATCATATTCAATTTCAAAGGATTAACGGAAAGACCTCAATTTCTGTTATTTTTAATAGAGGAACTACTACTCAAAAATGACGCAAAAGTTGTCGTAACCGGATTTGGACACCTGAACATCAGCAAAATGCCTATAACTCGAAACACGTTTAATCCACCAAGAAATCTGCAACAGGCTTTACTTCAGATCGAAATAAAACAAACGTAAGTTGTACAATAAAGAAATGATGCCAACACAATGAAAGACTTATTCTGATAATGATTTTTCAAACACTTGGATTTGTGCTTTTCTATATATATTCCCATGTCCAACATTCTTGCTCTAGGTAAATTTTCATAAAACTACGAGATTGGTACAGTTGTCAATTAGTCACTTTCGTTATGGCATCTTTGAAATTTACACATTACGTCAGCATATCGAGTTATACCAAAGTTTTGTTTAGAAATCGTTGCAATGATATATGTGGTTATAAAATAAAGTTAATCAACTAAAAGCTAGAGCGTTAGTTATTTCTGGTGCGTTATATGGTTTCAGAGAAAAACAGTAGTAACTCTAACGGGCGCTTCATTACAAGCCCACATTACTGATCAACATTATTGTATTTATTATTCTTGTGGGAAAGAGCTTTTATAACATTCAAGTATTCAATAAAGTTTTAATGGAAAGTTTTTTATTGCAACATAATTCAACCAGAGCTGACTAGTTTATAGCAGTGGAAAATATTGGTTTATTATTTGGCTTTCCTCATGTCTTCTCTTCGTGAAAGTACAACCAATTGGAAAGATATCAATTCAAACTGATTTGATTTGAACGAAATTTTCTACACTCTTCCTTATACTCTAGCTGTGAACAAGGGGTAGAAGGAATAAGAATTGCAGAAGATCTCAACAACTTGAAGTTTTCAGATAATATGATTTGTTGCAAGTCTGGAGACCCAAATAAAATAATTGATGCTTGTAAAGGAGACAGCGGTGGCCCAGTAGTGAGGGAGGTACGAAAGTTGTATTTAAAATACAAGGACCAGCCTGGCGTAAACAAGGATTGGAACTTATTTTTATTGCGTTTTTAAATCTTTCACTAAAGAATAAGAAACAGTCCTCGCCCCCTCTTCCTTAAAACAACCTATGATTTGCCATTGCCAATTTTACATGTTTAAATTGAGAAATTCAAGTTATTTTTCAAGTTCATTTTGCGTTACAGGGATGGCTATACATTTTACTGTGGAAAACGCGAAATATAAAGCTAGGCATGCTCACAAACTTGAAAGGGAAATTTCTTATTACATGCAACATGGGTCCTTTCAATTTATTTTTTACATTATCACGAAAATGTCACGCGACCCTTGTTCAGGTTAATAATGCTAAAGAAAATATGATGCATTTTTTTTTATATTTTATCGACGCAGCTAATACTCAACTTTTAGTAGGCCTACTCAATAACAAAAACAAGCACATATTTACTCAAATTAACGTTACTCAATTGTTCAGTGTAATGGGTGCGACTGCTTTTTGCTGCATAGCAAGTCCAGCCGTGGCTCAATGTTTGTTTATGCAGGCCTAAATGATGAATTACGATGTTTGGCCGCCGACGGCATGGTCGTTATACGAAATTGTTACTCACTCTTATTCATCATATTTAGCATGAGGCAGCGGTTTGTGCGACCCCAAATTATCAGGAAAAAAACGCATCAGGGGTTAAATTATCAGGGGAAGGTATCAATCTATATATACATATTTTCACGGGTAGCCGCAACTTGACCATATTTTTGGATGGCGTCACAATACAATGAAGTTCGAGAATCACTGAGTCCTAGTCGATAGCAAGAAATCTTTTCTTCTTTTTAAATGGGTAATAGTCTTTATGTAGCAGTTTTTTTTAAATGAAAACGTGCTATTTAAAATAAATAGCAATCGGTATGTGCATATTTTGTATATTAAAAAATCTCGTTATCCTCTACATCCCCCACAGATAAGCCCTAGTGTTATTTTCGAAAGAAAATTGAAGACACTGCCTTATTTTCGGGGAAACACGGTATGATAATGTATGTATTCACTCGTAATCGTGAAATTTTTGTCTTACACTATTTTTAATAATTGTTTTTTGAATCAAGAGTCTGAAAAAGTACAACACATATAGTGCTTTGTGTAAAATTGGTGTTCTCTTTGCGGCCCTTGAAATTTGTTTCGCGGCCCCTTGCAAGGCCACGGCCGCTAGTTTAGGAAGCCCTGATATAGATTACTGTACAGTGTGCTAACATAAAGACGCTCCGGAAGTATTCGTACCAAGATGACGCACAACCTGAACAACCTAGACTGGTACACATACTATGTTCAGGTTTAGCGCCATCTTGGTACGAATAATTCGGGAGCACCAAACAAAAGCGTTCGTTGGTAATAATGTAGCCAATATTGGTCCAAAGAAAACTCATGTGGTAGAGTAAAATCAAATAGACTCAAACATGCGATATAAAGTATGTATAGGTTGCTAGCAGACTGATACTAATTAGGTTTTAATTTGTTTGACCACTTTAATTAATTTGTTGAATTGTGCCTCTATCTGTAGCGTATTTAGTGATAAAACATCCAAACAATTGATTTGTAACAAACAAAATTGCCATGCAGCGTTATGTGTGATAAAGTCTGTTGAAAGCCATTTCATTCTGCAAAATGTGAAAACGTTATCGTTTCAGCCTATAAAATTTGAAGGCTTACGTGCAATATGAGATGTTTTACGTCAATAAAGTTGCTAAGGTTGACTGAAAACGGATGTTTTCCACATGCTTGAAGTAATTAACCACAACAAAATAACAATAAATAGTCAAAACAATTCACTTTTTCAAATTATTTTGTTGTTGCGATCTAACTGATATAAATGTACATACTACCAGGTAAAAAATGTTGAGACTGGAACTTCTTGTTGGGTTCAAATAGGAATAGTAAGCTTTGGATACAGATGTGGATCACAGTATCCGGGATATTACACAAATGTTGCAAGATACATTCCTTGGATTCAAGCAAAAACTGAAGATTAATAATTTTATTATATATAAAGGTTGGGTATGAATAACATTTTATTTTATAAAAAAGAATTTGTTTAGTTCTTTTTATCAAAATTTGTGTTGCGCCATATTCAAAGTCAAAAAACATTCACGTATTAAATATTTAACCGCTACACCAAAAGTGGTTTTGTAATTGTTTAAAATACTCTGTACAGGTACGGTTATCCATTAATGATTTCAATCTAAAAAATAACACTGCGCGTTGCTCGTGCCTGGCTCTTGTTTGGTATCGTTGATGCAGTATTATGAATTCTATATATATTTCTGATATTCTACTTTAACCGGCATTTACTGACATCTTTATTACGTGACAAAATATATACATAAGTAGTGTGTTAGTGTAAGCTTTTCAACTCTCCTATTCAATTAGTTATTCCCCCAGGCCGTAAGGTTAATATAAAAAAAAACATGAATATAAATAAATAAATAAAAATAGTGGATATTTTTAACCTCCATTCGTGATTTTATTTTGAACGCATTTGTATACAAACAATTAAACCTGTGATTTATACAACTAGCTTCTATTTTTTGTGGATTTGATGCCAATTGAGTCAAATACTGTGACCACAGATGGTATTTTTATTTCAGTTCAAAGACGTAACAAGAAACAAAAGTTTGGACATATCAACTGAGAAAATCATTGGAAAAACTCAACTTCATACATACTTGGATAATGAACAATTATATGATTCAAAATGATGCATAAGAGCAATGAGTAACAGAGTTTGGCATGAATACAATAAATCCCTTTTTGAGTTGCTTTTTTTAATTTAAGTAAAGGGGTATTTTTTATATCAAATTATTGGTGTGATGTTTTAGTATACAATTTCTTCAAGATTTTCGCTTCTATTGTAATAAACCTCTTAAACTGTTATCAATGACCGTTTTAAATTATCAAATATGAATGAAATTTCTTTCATACTCTTTTGATTTTGACAAGGAATCTTGTTTAACAAAATAAGGAATGAACCTCTGTGTCATTCTTATGAACCATAAAGTGTTTCATTTTTCAATATTTGCTTGTCGACAACCGATCTGATCTACGTTACCTTTGTGATGTGTTGTGATTACAACGTGTCAAGTAGACAAAGGTTTGATTGGCTGCTTTGTAAGTCTACGTGTTGGTGACGTATTTATCTGTAGGCCAATCACGCTACAAGTCGATAGACATATAAAAGCTATTATTTCTTGATTCTTGGCCGTCGTTATCTGTCACTATCTGTAGCTATCTTAGTCAATGTACTTCAGTGTAAAAACTGTTATCGTTTGATTATGTTAAGAACTGATTTATCCTAATTTGAATAAATAAATAATACAAACGTATTATCACATAGTATCAGAAGTAAAAGATTGATCATCATGAGTAAATTCAACTTTCCCAGAAACCTTCGCCTCAAAAGAAATCTAAGCGAAAACTGGGGGAAATTCAAGCAACAGTTTGAAATATATTTAGAAGCATCAGGTGACAATGTAAAGTCGGTTAACACAAGAGTAGCAATATTCCTCAATTTTGCCAGAGAAGATGCGGTAGAAATTTATAATAATTTTGATTTTGCGGAAGCCGATAACAGAAAGAAACTTGATAAAGTCATCGAGAAGTTTAAAAACTATTGCAATCTTAGAAAAAATGTTAATTTTGAGCGACATCAATTTTGGCAATCGACTCGAGATGTTACCGAGACTATAGATCATTTGGTAACTAGACGAAGTAAAGTAAAATCTTGCGCGTTCAAAGAAGGGCCAGAAGATATGATAAGGGATTGTTTCATTTTCAATATGCGTGGCCATGGAGTAAAGGAGAGACTGCTGAGAGAAGATGAACTAACGCTTGTTCAAGCTATAAACATGGCCAGAGCTGCAGGGACATCAAAACAACAAATACATAAAATGGATAATTACTCGGTTGGGTCGTCTGTTGACAACATCAGGCAATCAAAACACAAGAGCTTGTTCGCCAAGGCTGATACGACGCGGCAATGGAAAAACGTAAAACATTGCAAGTACTGTGGTGGTAGTCACGTACCTAGAGCATGTCCAGCTTTTGGAGAAAAGTGTCGATTTTCCAAGAAGATTGGACGTTTTGAGAAAGTATGCAGGACGAAGCAAGAAGACTATAAATCAAGCAAAGAAAGAGTAGTGGGTTTGATCTCTGAAGACTAAGATGTTTTTATGTTTTCGGTCGATAGCGAGACTGAAAAGAAATGGTTCGTTGACTTTCATATAAACAAACAGTTAGTTAAATTTAAACTAGATTCCGGTGCCGACTGTAACGTAATGTCAAAAGAGACTTTTGATGGATTGCGTCTGAGAAGATTAAAGAACAAATCTGAGGATGTATGGTGGACATAAGGTCAAAGCCTACGGTAAGGTCTGTATACCTTGTTCTTATGACGGGCTTACGAAAAATAATGACATTTTGCTTGTTAATTACAATGTCCAACCAGTTCTTGGATTATCTTCGTGTATGGAATGGGAACTTATAAAACGTGTAAACACTTTGACCAGAGTTGCGATAGAAGATCAATACGAAGATGTTTTTAACAATCTTAGAATTTGCATCGACCCGACCAAATTGAATGGGGCAATTGAAAGATCTCATTTTCCTGTGCAGTCTATCGAAGTTGTTTTAAGTCGCGTGCCTAATGCTTATGTTTTCAGTGTTTTAGAGGCAAATCATGGTTTTTGGCAAGTCAAATTAAGCAAAGAAAGCTGTAAATTCTGTACTTTCAATACTCCTTTGGAGAACGATGTTTGTTTGCATTGGGAACATGTGCATGATAAATCATACAATGACTTGAAATCTGCTATAACAGCTGTGCTGAAATATTTTAAGTAACAAAGCCAGTAACACTTTCTGCAGATTCCAGCTCCAAAGGTATGGGTGCAGTTTAAAAACCTGTTGCATATGCGTCAAAGGCGTTGACAAAATTTCAGCAACGGTATGCACAAATTGAGAAAGAAATTTTGGCGATTACTTTTGGCTGCGAGCTTTTCCACGATTATTTGTACGGTCAAAAGCTCGTGCACGTAGAATCCGATCATAAACCACTAGAGTCCATATAAAAAAAGCCAATATATTATATTTTGGCCTGGTGTAAATTCTGATATCGAGAAAACTCTATCTAATCCTACTACATGTTTGAGATACCAGAGAAATAATCGCAAGCAACCATGAATTCCACACAACGTCCATAACAGGCTATGGGCTGTTGATGGAGCAGACATTTTTTACTTTGACGACAAAGACTATTTGCACGTCGTTGGTTATAATTCGAAATATCCCGAAGTAGCCAAACTTGTCGATAAAACTAGTTCATCTGTAATAAGAAGTATGAAGAATATTTTTGCGAGACATGTTATTCCAGAAAAACTTGTTGCAGACAATATGACTTTCAATAGCAAGAATTTTCATAAATTCTGTCGAAATTGGGAAATTAGTTTGGTCACATCCAGTCCAAGATATCCTCGTTCTAATGGTTTAGCAGAGCAAAATGTTCAAACAATGAAAAAATTATTAAAAAAGGCCAAATTTTCTAATCAAGATTTTTTTTCGCCGTTTTAGAATTTCGAAATACTATCACTGGGATGAAAGAGTCACCAGCAGAACTTCTAATGAGCAGAAAACTTAGAAGCAGAATTCCAACAGGAAAAAATTCCCTGCAACCAAGAATTTCAGCTGATGCCAAGAAGTCTTTATGTAGACGAAAACAAGACCAGAAGAGATTTTACGATCTTCAAGAGGGAAAAGAGTGGTATCCAGCTGTAGACGTTTCCAAGCATGATACACCGCGATCATTAAATATTCTGACGCCAGATGGCAGAATGCTTGACGAAATCAGCATCATTTGGTTACAACTAGGGGTGGGCAAAATCGAATCGGAGGTCGATACTCCCTTCGAGAGAAGAAGAAACTTTGAAAAGTCGGCAACAAAGTGTTTTTTTACTGGTTAAATTCATCAAAATCGCCAGTTGTTTTTGTCGCCGCGATCCTAAAGTTCGTAATCTGTATTCCCGCCGATTCATTTTTTTGAAAGTATCAATTCTTGCGGGTCGGCGGACATCGAAGTTTTATATATTACGTATACCCGTGTGTTGCCGTTGAATTTTTTTTTAAAACTGAAAAGTCGCCAATAACGCGTGCAATAGCATTTTGCTATAATCGCCGGGTATTTAGGCCGTAAACAACTTTATGTTGTTTTTATTTTCTCTTGATCTAAAATTTTCCACAACGTTGTGCGACGTTAACGATAATTATTTTATTTTTGTACACAAACGGAATTGCGAATTCGGCGATAGTTTAATTAATGTACGTTCACCGGCGGCGAGTTTCTGAAAACAACGAAAATTTTTTGATTAAAATGCGACAATATAAAATACTGAAAATAGGACTGTAAACAATATGAGTTTTATTGATGCCTGTGACAGTTTTAATACTGATATTCTTGGATATTTGAAAGTTCCGAGGCCGAGGAGATCAGAATTATACTATCAAATTGCTATTTTTTTGTGTGAAAGCTCGACGTATTTAAATCTATTAGGAAAAATTATTCAGGATACTGTGGAATAAGTTATCTTTGATTTGAAATAAAATACCAATCGAGATGAGTAGGCATTAATTATCAACGCCCTCTGGGAATAAGGTTCATCGGCTTATTTCGTGCAAGTACAAATGGATAAATCACCTAGTAAAAATCGCCAGTAATAAGCATCTAGAGCAGTGGTTCTTAAACTTGGGGGACGCTAGATGCTCACAGGGGAAGGGGGAGGAGGGTCAACGAGAGGTCACAAGATGGAATTGGAAAAATTTACATGTAACGGCTCCTGAAACGGTCTCCCCGTTCGTTGAAAATACCGGTTTTTTCGTGTTATAATAAATTTTTTTGTCTCGTAATAACTATAATAATTCAGAATGTTTCTTTATTTTAATTCATTTGTGTTCAAGGTAACTCGCGGCGACTCACGACAAAATAACTCATTACCTATTTAAAATACCACGCCAATCCGCGGACAAAATAAAGTGTGATCAATTGCCCGATTATATTTAATTTTTATATATATTGCACTCATGCGAATTCGTTGTCCTCATTAGAAAGATCTGGTATAATATCCCAGAAAGTATATTTAATTTAGTACAATTAAAATACATGTAAAGTATATTAGTAGAAGAAAATACATATTCATCGAAACGAAATCCCCGCGGTACGGCTTCTGAGTCAGTCCTTGAGATTAAACTTTAAAAGATCCGACTTTTTCAACGGATATGTAATGGTTTTTTTGTTGAATAAAATATTCAATCCATGATTGATATACTTATATTTAAAATGGTTGTTTTATTCATTTAATTGTGATAAATTAAATCTGCGATTGCGTTTCACCAATATGAGCTGTCCCTGCAACTCTTACTCCGCTCTATCGCAATGCCGCCACTCGATTAATTTCAAGATATCACCGTTACAGATATTCCTGAGTCTGCGATCCCACGGTGTAAAATTTATACCAAGTCTGTAGTTTTGAAACACTACTGGTGTGCCGCACACACAAGGAATTTATGAAATTTTCATAGCTAAGAAAGTGTTTTTAATCTGTCGCGGTCCACCCCAAAACAAAAGAAAAACTGGCGTTTTCCGTTTTATTTTTAGTATTTTATAATGCCACTTTTACAATAAAGAAAATTTTAGTTACGGATTCTCTTCTTTATTCTATTTTTAGCATCTCGTCGCTGATGATTACAATAAAAACCAACTCGTTTTCCTCAGAGGTATGTGTCATGGTTCCATTCGAGAACAAAAAAAGTAATTATAATCGTCTTCGCGGCACAAGAATATGTCGAGGGAAATTTCGGATTTAGGAAGAATAAACACCGAAATCAAGATTTTAGGGCTTAAATAACACGCCTCGCTGACGTAAACAATGGAGATTTAAACAAAATGAAATCGCAAACGCCTTATCGACAACAATTGATTGAAATTTTACGTGTCTCATGTAAACGTTTAAGCAGAAAATACATTAAAGCATAGGTTTATTGCTTGTTTAGTTTTAATGATTAGTTTGACTTTGCCAAGTATTGCAAACTGAGCGGAAAGACGAGAATGTATGATGACCAACCACTATTTGGCTTTATACATACGACAGTGAATGGCGAAGTTGTACGTCGAAGCGTTTGATGCCCAAACAATCTGAGCAATGACGCTATGAGACCAACACTCAGTTATAGCGCCATTTTAATATATATATATAACAACTTGTCCATAACAAAAGCATTTTTTCAAAGCAAAAATAGGGGGGGGGGCGAAGTTTGTAAAATCTTTCGAAGGAGGGCGCGGCTCAAAAAGTTTAACCCTTATACAAGCAAGACAAACAAGTTCACTTTTCTAACAGATACAGGGATTATAATTCGATGTGCGTAAGGTGGCGCTACTGTGCTTCATAATCCGTTATTAACACAGTGGTATTGCCGTAATTTGCGTTTTCACTAAATAACCACAATTTACATTTATCTTACTAGTATAACATGGCATCAAACGAGGATTTAAAACTTACCTTCACTGTTGGTTAAGTCATCTTCTCAAAAGTGTGCCATCTCCGGGATATTTCAACATTTCGGTCGAGCAAAAGCTCAAGAAATATAGCATGTTCACATTTTTCATATAAAAAGTGTGTAATTCGGTATTGTAATATATTCGGTATTGTCCAGTGGTTCTCAAACGGTGGGTCGTGGGGCATAGACAAATTCTTGAGCGCGTGAAGCTAATTAAAATAAAAAATATTTGCTAGATTGGTAAATCTTGTCTGTCTTATTTCGAATATTCACATTTCTTTATTTAGGATATTTATGCTCCATCTACGATTTTATTTTGATAAAACATACTTTCGCCTTACTATCTGTTAGCTAGTTATTTTTGAGGTGGTGCGCGAGACTTGAAAAACTATAAGAAGGGGCCGCGAGAACCGCTGCACTAGAAAATAGACGCAAGCCATAAACACATGCATGTTCTTAATGAAGACAAATTAACGGTTAAGATATGAATTAGACACTTCTATGACAAGTTAAACGATTAGATAAACTAGGTTTTGAGATGTCAGAAGGTTGTGTGAACAATCGATTCCATTAAAATTGCAATATCAATAAAAATTAAGGAAATCCAAATCTAAGAACGAAGAATAAATTGAAAACTAACTTTATTAAGGTGCAAAATATGAATCGTTTGTAATTGTAAATTGTGAACGTTGTTTGCTGGTATTCGTACTATTCCCATAGATTTGTGTTGTGCCAGAACCGTTGAAAGGGTGTTGAACATTATATCAAATGAGGAAAGGTCACCTGACCTACCTTCTTGTAGTATTATCGAAGAAAATACAAATTATTGTTTTGTACATTATCTGACTTGTGGGATGTACCTGTGTAATTTATCTAGTGTTAATATAACAAAGTATTTGAAGTATTACAGACTACCACCCTGACTATCTCTCTAGTCGACGTACCACAGTAAATTTCATACGCGTAATCATGGTAACGATGGAAATTAAATTAAAAAATTTCATTCTGCAACGTGAACACAGTTGAAACAAAAATTTTACCACTAGAGCAGTGATGTCAACCTTTTGGGCGCATGTGTCAGATTATGAATATTGAAAAACTTGGCGTGCCAAACAATATTATGTGTTCGATATTTTTAGTACACTACATGAAGTAGAAAAGTATGTGTAAAAAGAAAGTATGTGCATAAAAGACAAATTGATTTTATTAATTTTAATGGATAACTTCTAATACAGCTTTTTAACGAGTTATTTGTTCCTCTTTTTCTTTGCTCAACTTAAATTATTTGGACACTTTCAGTCGAACACATGCTTCCGAATAATCTTCCGTATGCCGGCTGCGGTGGTGACTGAGAATAAACTCCATTTGCAAGAATATTTGTTTACACAAATAAGTTGATTCAAATGCAGACTATAAAGATATTATCTAGGCTATGCGCGTGAAGATTCCGACCCATCGTTCATTACAGTAAAAATATTGTACGTTTTTTCAGTGGATTTATCCAATTTTTATTTTATTTTTAAATGTGCGATGTTTGTCGCCAGCGAAAATAAATATATGAATCTACCTCAAATCACTTTCCGTGCCATGAAAAGTGCCAGGGGACGCCGACTCTGCACTAGACAATCGTGCTCATATTGCATGATGATATTTTATACTTTTATACATTTTATAGGCATCGCATTCACGCAGCACTGATTCCACTGATTGCGAGGTTGGGATCAGGAATACATATGAAAGGTATGAATATTGTTGTGTTTTATGTTGAGATGTTTTCATTAATCAGTCATAGCCATGTTCCCACATATTGATTAAAACAAAAATAACTCGGAAGGATATTGAATTAAACTATAGTGAAAGTAGTTATGCATAATAATACCCTTGAGGCTGATACAGTCTTTGAAAAAGTTTTTCAATTACAATTTTTCACATTGCAAATTGGGAATCTTAATTTTTCAAATGAATAAAACTACACTCCCAGATTTAAAGCAGATGTATTTATAAATGCTTTAATTCTTGCAAATTATTGACATTGAAATAATTTTCAGCAAGTAGAATCACTCCACTTGACATAGCGCGAGTATTTTTGGTAATTTACAATTTCAATATAATTGTATTGTTCAGTGATAACCTTGTCAAAAAAAACACGTTTTAGTTCAGTGGTTCACAACCGGGTGCCGGTGGCCCTCGGAGAGGGCCATGAGGCAGTTCAAGGGGGGTCACTACACAACACTAACAATTAATCATAAAGCGACATCGTTTGCATACTTTCCTTTTGAAATAAAATTCTTCGTTCAGGCGTTCACCGCAGTTTTATTATCTAAATAGGGTTTTTGCGATCACAGGATGTATTCACTTTCCCATGCGTGAATTGTGTGATCACAGTTGGCTGGTAGGCCGTCTAACCTGCAGACCAATCACTGAACTGAGAGATAACCTTCCTCATCGTATATTATGGACGCAGAAGCTTATATGTAAATTCCTAATGCCCACGATACGAAAATGAAACGACAGTTGCTTTGGCTTTGGCTTTACCAAAGTAAATCGAGATGACAGAGAATGTGCTTAATGTCTGTATTTCTCGTAGGTAAAGAGCAATGAATCATTACGTTCATTTGAACTCCAAAACCACAGTGACAAAAATCATTCCCAGGTGAAAGACGTTGACATCGTATATTTTGCTGCCATGTGAGTTAGGTTTGACGAGAATTAAGCATTGGTCAAGGTCGGCTTTCTGTCGGAATACGCTCGTCCCCGCACCTCTGATTACACTGCGTGGGTTCGCAGGTTCGAATCCCATGCGGGGATAGTTATCTGCGAGAAGATTGCCGGCCTCCTCGCCGCTGTTGACTGGTTCACTTAACCGCTAGTCGGTTACGGCTTCCTCCATCGTCAAGTCCATCCGAAAACAAATAACAAGCTAATCCCATACCCGACATGGAATGGTAACCGGATGAGAGGCCGGGGTTCGCCATATGGTTAAGCCGGCTTATCGGCTTTCCTCTCCCCCAGAATAAATAGGTAAATCCTATCCTATC